AGCAGGAATTGACGAATGAACTGAGTGCAGGGGCAGAGAGTCATCCAACTGCAGCCTTTTTGTGCCTCGCATCTTGACCACGGGCTGTCAATGAATGGATTTCAATTTGCGACCTGAAGCATCAGGGCTAGCAAGTCAATGCCCCCAAGGGACCATTGACCAGCGCGATAGGTTTGTTTTTATTAGCATGACGCAAAATGGGGGGAAGCATACCAGAGTACAATAGAGTTTGCCGCTTGGTTTGCTTAAGCTCGCATCACGTCCATAAACCAACCCGCACGCCATCGGTTAGCCGATGATGGGTTGTTTCGCCTTGTCATTGTGTACAATACATCCGTCATTGATGGAATAATAGAGTTCGGGCCGTTCAAGTCACCAGGATGAACAACCTTTTCTTTGATGCGCCGCCAATATACCCCATTGCACACAACGCGGCCAGTCTGATTTCTTTCACCACATGGTAATTTGTCGTCTCAAGCTCTGGAAATCCCCACCTGTCGATCCGATCCGGCGAACGCAGGTTCCAGGGATATGAGAGAATTTCGCTAGTACTAGCAACCCGTCAGCCAAGCCGCCTCCATTCACTTCTGCTTTATTTTGATCTTGCATACACCTGCAAGGTTGCGAGTTGGTTCACGGAATGCTGTACCGGCGCCGAGAGCTGAAGTCACTTCCAAGATTTCGGTTGCGCCGGGCGGTTCAAGCTGTGAGAATGGCGCCGGCGCTTCCAATAAGTGGCCCCAAAGTGGCACTCTCATCAACACCACACTCCTGATAGGCCCCACCTGGCTATCCGCAAGCATTTTTTGCTTCTCGACGAGTGATCGGCCCCCTGCCTGGCGCTCAGTTGCCGAGTTCTAATGGCTCACTCGCTCGGATCCTCAAACGCCAGCCAGCCCTGGGGACGGGCCAGTGTGGTGCTCACATTGGCTGGCAAGTTGCGGCTACTCGTAGTAGGTGTACTGCTGTGGCCGTAGTGGCGGTTGAAACGGGGGTATTGGCGCTGCCCTGGCGTCGCCATAAAGCTTCTCCTTTTCTATCCGCCTGGTGGCGTGTCCGCTCGCGTTTCAGCGCCAAGCCTCTGCTCTGGAGCAGGACAGTCTCAAGTACGGAGTAACTATTATGTCTGGTACTACTAATTTCGCGTTGAAGAAGAGCTCCCATTCACCACACACCTGTCCCGCAAATACGACTTGCTGTGTATTGAGCCCTGCTAGTTTGAGATCACCAAGGCCTGTCCACACCACTTAATCGGCCTATCAACGCAATTCTTTGAGCGTGGAAATCGCTAGCGGAAGCTGTTTCGGTATCGTGCCATGTGGGCATTGTAGGCGCTTGCCGCTCAGCACACCAGTACTCGTTTAGTGCGTTCCGGCATACTACTAATTTGTTTTTTTTGGTCCGTATGCGACTGCTCGTAGTAGGTGTACTGCTGTGGCCGTAGTGGCGGTTGAAACGGGGGTATTGGCGCTGCCCTGGCGTCGCCATAAAGCTTCTCCTTTTCTATCCGCCTGGTGGCGTGTCCGCTCGCGTTTCAGCGCCAAGCCTCTGCTCTGGAGCAGGACAGTCTCAAGTACGGAGTAACTATTATGTCTGGTACTACTAATTTCGCGTTGAAGAAGAGCTCCCATTCACCACACACCTGTCCCGCAAATACGACTTGCTGTGTATTGAGCCCTGCTAGTTTGAGATCACCAAGGCCTGTCCACACCACTTAATCGGCCTATCAACGCAATTCTTTGAGCGTGGAAATCGCTAGCGGAAGCTGTTTCGGTATCGTGCCATGTGGGCATTGTAGGCGCTTGCCGCTCAGCACACCAGTACTCGTTTAGTGCGTTCCGGCATACTACTAATTTGTTTTTTTTGGTCCGTATGTGCTAAATTGGTCTTATCATCGCCGGCATGGCTCGAAATGGACATTAATTTGGGTCGATTACCTGCGGGCTTAGACATGCTTCTAGTGCCACGGCACACTGGCACACTTGCCGTCATCCACGTTGTTGCTGGATGCTGGACTTCCGCCGTGGCGTCTCTGATAGAGTCTCTTGTTCCTGGCTTTATTGTAGTAGCATTGAGAGCAATGTCTGATGTCTTACCGCCGCCACTGTCTTGCATGTATTCGTACTAGAGAATAATAAACTGCACAAGTCTTTAAGCTGGGTTGATTGCAAGGGGGGCAGCTGCCCACTGTAAATGAGATTGACCAAACTCAGTTTTTTTCTTCTTTGTCTTCGGGTGGATATGCATAACCGGCCAGGACGTCTCAGTGCTCATTCATGCCTCTTGAACCCAAGAACTACCCAGTCAGCTCTGCCGGGATGCAGACCCATTCCATGTGCTTGAGATTGACCTGTCCAAGTGGGAGCGGCGGATGCTGGATCCTGGTTTGAAATTCTTCGTGTTGAAGCCTCCGCCGCTGTCAAGTCGGTCATGTTCCCAAGCAAATTTTGCTGGAATACGGAGTACGCCACGGTCCTTTCCCCATACGTCAAACACATCCAGGCTGCCAGGCACACAAGGGCATTGGATGCCTCGTCCAAACCATGGGGACCTTTGACATGGAGGCTGTGCACATGTTCGCCAGCAGCGACCGGGTCGGCGTGTCGGCGTGTCGGCGTGTCGGCGTGTCAACGAGTCAAGGTGGTGTCTGGTGTGTTAATGTCAAGAGAGGCGACAAACAAAGCGTCTGGTTGCGCTGTGAGGGTACCAGCAGCCGCGGCATGCGTCGCAGCCCAAGCGCCACCTCGTGCGATACGATCCTGCCCCTCTTCTTTCCTCTTTAGCCTCGGTAGCCCTGCGCAAGCCCCCTGTTCGGGCCCCTCTGTGCCCCACCTGGATGTGCGGACTGGTATCTGATTGGCCTTTTGGCTTCACACTCAGGCGTCGGCAGCGTCGGGTAGATGGCACCCAGGGATGGTCTTGCCCTGTTGTGCTGCAGTTTTTTTCTGCTTTTTTGCGTGTTGTTGCATCCCGCACCCAGCCACCATTTTCCCCTATTGTACTCCGTATTGTATGCCTCCTTTGGAATCGGACGGTATGTGCTCAGGGATCTAAGCCCTGAAAATGGTGCAAACTGCGTTAGCAAAGGGATGCTCTGGGTCCTCTTCGAATGTGCACGCAGTCCCATGATGGCTGGGGGAATAATGTCTGGTGCACTGCGGATATGTACCGAGTAATTGCCGATACTCTGCCCAGGCACTTGCATCTATGGATGTACAGTGCCAGACTCTGGATTATACGGAGTACTGAGCCGGGACTTCAATGATTGCACCAATGACAATCAGTAGCTGACCTGGACTGATTGCCTATTCCGGTAGGGGTCTAAAGCAGCGCTGCAGGACAAGGTACCAGGGCGCGATGCGCTGTAGTTGGGCGATGAAGCCGACCCACCACCATCGACACATTCTCTGGACGTTCAAGGCTCATCAGTTCATATGGAACGCCGACTCTTGGTTCAGGACAACAGGGCAGGGGGTTAGTTCATTCGCCCCTTGATTTGGGCTGTGCTATGTTTGCATTGAGTACAAATATGTACAAATCACATCCACACAACGTGAGCAGTTCTTCAACAGGCTCCCTCCCGGGTTCATGGCTCCTGGACAGTGGGCGGACGGGGCAAATACGGAGTCGCTGGTATGAACGGGACAGATTGCTATTTGATGTCAAGGTATCAATGATTAGTAGTTACCACGGAGTGCCTCGCGGATATCCACTCAGCCGGGCCGGATCAGCAACTAAGCACCTGGGGCCCTCTTGGTCACTCGTTTGCCCTGGAGCCCCCCCTGTGCGCGTCAATCCGCACAAGTCAAAGACTCTTGTAGCTGCGGATGCTTGACTGGCTGGACTGGCCGACCGCACCACTGGGTGGGCGACTGGGCCCGAGGGTCTGATGCTATTTTCTTCTTCTTTCTTTTCATTTTCCCATCTGCTCGTCGCGTGCCGCCAAGACTCCCGAGTTTGCTGATCAAAACAAACGGTCGGAGTTTTGTGCATGTTCCGGTCTGACCCGTCTGCTGCTCCGCGGCGTGGGGAAGGAATACTCGCCAAGCATTGTAGTAGTCAAACGGCAAGTTGTCAATAGGATCAGTCATGGGTGAGGCGAGTCGCTGCGCTGTGTATCAGTTGATTGTGTCAATTCAATCTTTAATGTTGGGTACGCGCTTTGGTAATACTAGCAAGTTCAGGTCAACTCTGGTGAGCAAGCGGGCCACAGGAAGGCGCCGCATCCGCACATGGCTCTGTTAGCCCATTAGTAGTATGTCGCCGGGGCCAGTGGACCAGCATTCAACCCTCCAGTCCAGATGCATTTGATGTCTGGTGTCCAGATGTCCCCCGTCTCCGCGCCGGGAGGCCTAGTGCGCGCCCCCCAAAAGCCCCCCCAGTTGCCACCAAACCACAATGCACCGAATTTAGCTTTATTGTCTGTTCAGTTTGGTCTGGTGTGTCTGCATCTCCTGATCAATTGCTGGTTTGCTGGGCTACATGCAGGGGCCCCAGCCTGCCATTGCCCTGCCATTGCGCGTGCTGCTATTGCCCCAGCCTGCTGTCGCCCGCTGTAACTGCGCTGCCGCCCGTGCACACCACCCGCCCAAGTACCTGTAAGTGTCAGCGGCCCCAGGCGGCCAGCTGCTCCCGTCTTCTCACCACTCGATCCCGTTTGTTTCTTCATCCCGTCAATCATATCCGTCTTTTTTTTTTTCCACGCTCACTTCGTTCGTCGCCGCCTTATACACGACTCTCCCGCGGCCTCCCTCGCTTGTCCTGTACTTCAGACCCTCGCTCCTCGTCGAATCCTAACGTCAGCGCGCGCCGCTCGCTACGCTCGCTGTCGTTGGCGCCGCTGTGAGCAACTCAAGTCCCTCCCAAACTCGACGATACCGAAATACTCGATATTCCACGGCCTCTCGAGCTTGTCCGTCCCCTTCTCTCCCCCGGCGACTCGCCTTCGCTGTCCTCTCGCTCTCCATCGTATTTTCTGCTTGTTATAATATTCGACAGTCATGCTTAGATGGCTTGTTAGTGCCCTCTTCCTGGCACTGCCGATTGGTACCACCATCGGTGTCTTGCTGGGCATGCAGGCGTATAATCATGCAAATGGCCAGCCGCCTCCATTCTCAGGCGGTGACGATGGCAATGGTCTGCCTGGAATAGGTACTCCCAAGGATAAAGATACTGTCGAGATGAAGTGTGACCAAGCCTTTGGTTTCGACCCCAAGTCCAAGGGTCAGAATTTCATCTGTGAGTCCCTCGATATACATGCACAATTTGCGCTACGTTTTCTTTGCTTTTCTTTCTTTTCTTTCTGTCTCTCTTCTTTCGCCTCATCCCCCCCCGGCCCCCCCTTCTCTCTCTCTCTCTCTCTCTCTTTTTGCGCTGTCTACCCAACATCAAACCAAAATGCCAATCAATCATTTGACCTTGACTGCTGACAATCTCCTCTCCCACAAGTGAATCCTAATCCTTGGGGTTGGAAACCGGGCGAGAAAGGCGCCCTTTGCATGCTGGTCAACTTCAACGGAAATCGAACATACGCCACAGATTTCTCAGCGCCTGTCTTCAATGCCACCTGGCAGTATCCCCGAGTTATCGGCGGAAACAACGTGCATGCCTTCCCCAACGCAAAGGTCGACAGCAAAAGCTTCCCTGTCCAGGTCGGGTCCGTCTCCAAGTTTGAGTTTGATGTTGAATGGTCCTTGTCGCTCAAGAACGACACACGTGAAGAGGTTACCGATGCTGATGTGAAAGCAAACGAGATTAATGCCAACGTGGCCATTGATATGTTCCTGGACAAGGACAGCACAAAAGCCGAAGACAGTGAGAAGGCAAGCTTTGAAGTGATGGTGTGGTTCGCCGATTTCGGTACCGATGCTTGGCCTCTTGGCAAGACCAATACCCCTGACAAAGGCTTGGTCAAAACCTTGACCCTCGAGGGCGTGGACTTGTAAGTTGACCTCGGTTCCTTCTTGTGTTGACAAGAATTGTCCCAGCTGACTGTTTGCAGTGAGTTGTATGCTGGGTCCAATTCGAAGGACCAGATGGTCCTGTCTTGGGTAGCAACTAAGCCTACCACCACCTTTAAAGGAGACTTGAAGCCGCTCATGGACACCATCTTTGCCATGAACAATGCCCAATACCCGCAAAAGACCGACTACCTCGGATATCTTGCCTTTGGACAAGAAGCCTACAGCTCGACCGCCAACGTCACCTTCTCGGTGCCTAGTCTCGCAGTGGATATCGAGACGTCTAAATAAATCTCGGATGTGAACACCATATGAAGCGAAACAATATGTGCAGACATTTTCATATCGGCAGGCTGAGATGTGCTGGGAATGGCGGGTGGTGAACAACTTGACGACGTGGCTTATATTACTGCAATGCTGTTAGTTGGCCCCCCTGCGACGGCATTGTCGGGTTTGCCTATACGTATATTTCTGGGTCGAATGACCAACAATATGAGGTGCGGCTATCATGAAGCGATACACGGAGTGCTGTTCGATCGGCGTTTATTTGGAGATCTGGGCAGTGTCTTGCATGACACATTTTTTTTTTCCATTTTGATATATCTTGTCATTATGCATAGGTAATACGGGATGACGTTGTATATTACCGTACGCGTTTGCTGTATGCGGAGCAGTTTTTCTGGGACTTGGGCAGGTTCTATGTATATTGTACAGCATGATGATTCATAGACAAAATTCGACCATGTGTCTTTAGATGAAAACGTTACTCTTTGGGTGTGGTGGCATTGCGTCGAGGCGATAGTCGGGCCATGGTTGCCGGTGGGCAAAGAGCACGTCATTCGAGACGACTTCTGTGGCATTGTTTACTTTCCGGGTTTCTTATCGTGGAGCGCTCAAAGCTACTTAATACCGCCTTGATCCATGTTGGTCCTGACACTATGTCGAATCTTTGCAAATTCCGATTTATTCTTGCGAATGACGTGGTACACGCCACCGTCGCTTTTCCAAGTTTTCCACCTGGGTGTGTTGCATCCTTCTTGTCCGTCCAACAACCCCTTTACGGAAAACAAGATGCCCAAATCACGGTTGACCACCTGATGACCGTTGAAGTACCCCAAGCGCACTGCCAAACAAGCCTCGATCGTGTTCAGAAGCCTGGTTTCCTGACAACTGTCCCAGGCACCTTCCCAGGAGAGCGAGAGTCCGATGCAAGCCAGTGTGTTCAGGCCGAATTTGCCGAAGACGGTGCTTGCCATACAGATAAATACCTGATTTGGCGGCCGCCCTGGAACCACGGTACTTGTTTGTGTCATTGGCTTTGTGCGCCAACGTGATATCAGATGTAGCAGCCGTGAGGCATGGGCCAAGAATTTGGCAACAGCTGCAACATGAGACGAAAGCAGTAGGACTACGAATGGGTCATTTGACGAGCTGGTATCTTTGGTGGTCTCCAAGGACGCGAACTGTAGTCTGGTTGATGTGGTATCACCCGGATGGCTGCGTGCTGAAGGACGTGACGGTGCGCAGGAAAGGCACTGGGTTGCTGTGAGTCTGTGACTGAGCCTGGAATTTTTTTTTTTTTTTTTTTTTGGCGCCGTCTTCAGATCTTTGCTGTTCATTTGCTTCAAGCAGCCGAAGCGCCAATTTGTTTTTCACAGGGTACTGCTCAATGTTCCTGACGACCGCGATATTTACAACTACTACACGGGCCATATTCGAGGGGTACAATTGGCTCCTGAGTTAACTTGGAATCAAGGTGGGGAAAAGTTTCCAATTTGCCAACTTCTTTCGAAGGCGCTGGTGGACGCGCGGCTGACCGTTGTTGCTGGTGGACGAGACGCTCGGCGTGCCGGTGGGTGTCGCCGCGTACGTACGTGCTTTTCCTCTTTTGTCGTGGCTGGGAGTTTTTTTTTTTTTTTTTTTTTGGCGCCGTCTTCAGATCTTTGCTGTTCATTTGCTTCAAGCAGCCGAAGCGCCAATTTGTTTTTCACAGGGTACTGCTCAATGTTCCTGACGACCGCGATATTTACAACTACTACACGGGCCATATTCGAGGGGTACAATTGGCTCCTGAGTTAACTTGGAATCAAGGTGGGGAAAAGTTTCCAATTTGCCAACTTTTTCTTTTAATATTAGTTGTCTCCCTACGATGCTGGCCATTGACACCACTCGTATCAACTTGCACAGTGTTTCCTCACTTTTACGTCACTTGTAGACGGGAGACAATCTTCAAATGCGGTGTGACTTGACAAGGTTACTTTTGCCATGGGAAGACGCTCGAATTCTTGCCGCCAGACAATGCCATTCAAGAGAACTGGAGGGGGATCGCCGGGGTCGTGGGCCACATGAAACACGACAATTGTTGACATTACGTGGTTGTCCGGGAAACTTGATAGACACAAGAGCTAGTCGAGGTTATCATGTCGCCGCAATGCAACTGCGGGTGCTGGGAAGTGGTAATCAGTGGGCGGGTGTCGTTTAGCACCGAAAACAGTCATCTTTATATTTACCATATTTCCATGTTTTCTTCCACTTATTCAACCCGTCACACACAAGTCGGCTATTGTTCAAGTAAACCCAGAACAAACATCTTGGTATACATTCTTCTCTAGCCCGGCAGCATCGGTGGGAACGTAGTTGAGGTACGTGGCATAGGAATACGTCCATCTGGGGTCGTTCAGCTCCGTCTTCCAGGTCCAGTAGATCCAGCCATCCATGCCCGGCTTCTCGTAGAGCTGCTGCTGGGCAGTGAAGAACTTTTTGAAGAAGTCGGCATTCTTCCAGTCGACGTTGGACGTCATGCTCCATTCTCCCGTGAACTCAAACGCCTGCCCATCCACGACGCGCGAGTCTGTGCATGCGCTGTGCATGAGCCGGTACTGATCGCCGTTGTTGTTGCCCAAGGCGAAGCCAATGTAGTTGTGGTCGTCAAACGCCGTCATGGCATCGTTTGCTACCGCGGCGGCGGTGCGCGCGTCGCCAGAGTCCCATTTGCTCGACATGAACTGGACGTGTAGCTTCTTGCCGTCTGCAATGTTGAGGGCCGTCTCTGCATCGCGAACGGCCTTGAGCGCGGCCGGGTAATACTTTTGCACCAGGCCGGGATCCTCTCCGGGAGCAGGGTACCGGCCGCCTGCGTCGTGCCGTGACACGGGCTCGTTGAGGACCTCAATCATGCCCACGCTCGAGTATGCTGGGTTGGTGTGGATGCGGTTCGTCATCCACGAGAGCCATTTCTCGGCGCGGCCAAAGTTGTAGTCGTTGAAGAAGCCGGCCGGCTTGTTGTTCTGGCCGGTGAAGACGTCTTCTTGCTGGCCGCCCGGTGCGCCATGAAGATCGATGATGACGTAGATGCCCAGGTCGGCGGCCTTCTGAACCACGGCATCGAGGTATGGGAGCATGCGGTTGCCGTCTGCAAAGGGCTCGCTGGCCTTGTCGACTATATCCGTGTACGACCAGTACCCGATGGGGATGCGGATGGTATTCAAGCCGACGTCGTGGACTGACTGTACAGTATCGGGGTTGATCCAATCCCGCCAGTGGTTTTCGAATTTCTGGTTGCCAGCACCACGGTTTCCGCCTTTGTAGTGATCATTCATGCAGTCGAATTCAGAGGCAGAGTCTCCGCAGCCCAAGACGTTCCTCCATTCGTTCTGCATCATCCAGGGTTCGCAGATGAGCCAGCCACCAAAGTTGACGCCGCGGATTTTCGTTACGCCATTTGGTAACGAGGGCTTGAAGCGTTTACCAAGCTTCTCAAACCGAGCAGTCTGGTTGAAGGCTTGCAAGCCACGGTCTTGAGGGAGCCACGCAGAGACAGCGCTCGCTAGGAATATCGGTCCAAGAATAGAGAGATGCATCGTGACTGTGACGGCAAGTGTTGTCTAGTTGGTGGAAAACCCTCTCACTTGAGTAGGCCGGTGAATGCCGCCTCTTTTATAATTAGGCTCTCTATGAATAGGGGCCATCGAATTCTTGGCATTGACTACCACTGGGCTAGTGTCATCTTGATTGTATGGCATGTCAGTAAGGTCGTAATCCTCGTATGCCTCAGCCCAATCAGCCCAATCAGCCCGTTTTGACCTTTCGGCCCGTATGTGTTTTGCAAACTACTCCGTAGGCGAACGTCGGCCGAAGAGACACCAATCCTCCGGGCCGTGTTGTCATGCACCTATAGTCGCCACCAGATGCCGTGCAGCAACTCGGGGAGATACTTGATGCAGCTTACGTGCTCAGGACTATCCTTATCCTTTCACGCCCTCAGGCCCGGTAAGCGTCGCATTCGAGGCAGTGCCGTGCGAGATCGACCCCCCACAAGAGAGTTGATCCTGCCTCTCTGGGGTTAGAGCTGGGCAACTTTGGTGTAGTGCATGTGTTGCCGACATTATTGTACATGAAATGACTGAGCTTTCTTGCCGAAAGATCCGACTAGGAAACGCGAATGGAAATAAGCAAAGAAGCAGCGACCTGGAGAAGAATTATCCCCCAACCAAAACTGTCAGTGAGAGACCCAGTCAGCCCAGTGTATTACGCCACGTAATTATATAGAGATGACTACGTCATGCCGAGGCTGTGGGAATAAGACACTGCGCCTCAAAATGTACGTGTCATTGTGTTAATCAGGACTCGGATGTAAGGAGTGCATATGTGGCCATGGATGGGCAATTCAGCTTGCGTTTTCCGCAATTACTCCGCCTGGGACGAAACCACGGACAGGATGAAATCGGGATTTGGCCGTGTTTTCGAAGTCATGGGTCCTTTTCAAGACAATGTGTCAAGTCGGGTAATAACCAGACAATGCATCTGAATGACTGCATTACTTCAAAGGATTGAGCAGTAGGCATGTGGCATGTCTACGGAGTACACTGTCTGTTCTCTCCACCCCTTTACACCGCGTTGGATATGCGTGTGAATAACACGCAAGGATTTGGGTAAGGGGAATACCCATATATAAGTATAAAGCAAATATTTATTTGTCATATAAAGAGTGCCACAATTATGTGGACTATATCACTTAGTCGCCTTACTTCAAGAAGTGTCCGTTGATCTTGGAGATGATGCTCTCGGGTTAATAATATCTCTGGGCATGGTAAGAAATCAGCCCCAAACTCCACTACTCCCCGGCAAAGTTTCCTCCCTAGCTGGATGATACGAAGAATCTGTAACGATACAAAGCCTCGTTACGCTACAAAAGAGAAAATTATAAGCGCACCCTGTTAAAAGGGGCGACCGGCTCTACACAACGCTGTGCGCATCATCTAATTTCCGCTCATTGTATCACCTGGTATTGACTCAATACAGCTAGATCGCTGTTACCCGGACTCGCCGCGGCCTCCGCGTTTTCCACGCATTTGGCTTTTGAACGTCACCATCTTGGTTCTGAATGCCTCGTCATTGGGGCAGATAGGGCTCTGCGCTCAACATGGCACCCAACCGCGTGATTCCGCGGGCGGTAAGAGTGTCCTTGCCGGATTTGCCACCAAGATGCTGAAACGTTCGAATACAGTGTCGTTATGCATTGCCGCATTCCCAAGGTTCGTTGGCGCTAGATGGCCAGTTCGCCGAGGTCCGCTGTTGACAGTCGCTGCGGGATATGCTAGATACGATGTGATGGGAAAAGTCCCTGTTCCAATTGTGTAACCTCCAAGATCGCTTGTTCCCCCACTGGGCCTGAAAGTGCTGCGAGGGAGACCGGAGCACCAGGTCTACTCCATGACCCGTAAGTGATTCATCAACCACCCCCGACAACTTTGGGCAGAAACGAGTGCTTAGGAGTATGAAAGACCTCAGATTACGCCGATCAATGATCGGCTAGACAGGCTTGAAAAGGCTGTTGGCTCCCTTGTCACCAGCAACCATGTTGGGGACCAAGAAAGGCGACACGACCACCTATCTTGCTCCAGCCAAGCAGGAGGATCCTCACAGGCAGCATGGTAGGGAGCCGCTCTTCGAGGGACAGGCTGACATGGCAAGCCGCATGCCCTCGAAACCGATGAGCCTTCCCCGGTCGTCGATGAGGTGAGAGACTTGCGCTCTGTAATCAACTATCAGACGGCTACGGCTACACCAAAAGAGACGCCGTTAGATATGAAGCAGCTCCGGACCCCGCAACTTGTAGCCAGCCTTGTCATTAGACTTTTGCAGATCTTGAAGAGTATGAACCGTGAACCTTGCTTGCTACTAGCATCCTTGCCTTTGCTCTGACATCTTCAGCGCCCAGAGACGCCCCTGTTGCAGTGGGCTCATCATTGAGACTCACCTCTCGGCTGAATGATGATTTGGAGTCATGGATGATCAGACTCTACTCAATCACAAGATTGGGTTTGTGTGAGCGAATCAAGAATTCTCTACTGCGAGGTTGGCAACCCGGAAGTCTTTGTAAACGCATAAGCGTGTTAAATATTGTGGCCTCGGGGTAGAACGGGACATCCACTACGACCAATTTACACGGGGAGCCCGGGGGGTTGCGTGCCGACCGTCTGTTAACCTAATAGTGGTGATTGTAACTGGACCGAGGGTACCCTGAGATGCAGTGTGTGCACTTGCTGCGAAAGGACGGCCCAAGTATAAGTTCTGCATCATGACACCACACTTGCAGTGTTCATCCCAAGATTCACAACACTTACAGAAAGAGGCCGAAGCATCATTACTCCCTTCCTGTCTGATACCAAGCTACCACATTGTTGCGGTTATAAGCACTCTTCGACGTTGGTCAAGGGTAAAGTCGGCCTTGTTGCCGCCGCGGGTTCTCCGTATGGCATCGGGCGGTCTCTTGTGATGGCGTTGGCTAGTGCGGGACCCAAGGCCGTATATGCAACAGATCTCACGCTGGCAAATATACAACCGTTGGGAAAAGAGGTTCAGGGGAGTGGTTCGACCTGCTCCATACACGGCGCTGTGCTTGACATGACGTCTGAGGAACAGACAGTCCAGATGATCAAGCAGGCCTTGGCGGAATATGGGCGATTCGATTTCTTCTTCGCCTACGCCGGAGTCGGGCTCTGCAAGTATGAATCCAAGTCTTATTTGACACGGGGTGGCATCGTTAACTCGCTCGATAGAACACGGCCCATCATGACCGGACGATTAGCGTCCTGCAGCGGTCTTTCTTCCTGGCGATAAAATACGGTGGCCATGTCATGTGTACGGTATCGGCCGAGAAACGTACACCCGGGGGCACAATTCTCGGCACCAGCTCCATGACCGGTGTGACCGGAGCCGTGTCAGACATATCCTACTGTGAGCTACTGGTGAAACCCGCGAACATGTGTCTTGTTAAAATCGTAGCAATCGCCAAGGCGGCAATCAGCAACATGGTAAAGTCGGCATCTGTTCAGCTGTCAGCCAGCAACACCAGAGTCAATGCAATTGCGCCTGGTTTTTGTTCGCACAAGCATCGCTAGCACGTCTTCTTGGGTCGCGGCCGGCCAAAATAAGCACGATGTAAGGACAGATAAGACTGCATTCGGCGGGTTCGATGCCATGACTGGGGCGTAAAAGAACCTTTCATCAAAGTACTACTACAACAGAGTACCTGAGCCAGTTGAGATGGCCAACACTAGAGGTTTTCTCGCATCAGAGCTGTCGGCGTCTATTAATGGCCAAAATATTGTGGCTGACAGCGGCAAGATAGTGGCGGGCCTGGGCGAGAATAATTATCGGCCCTGTTGAGCCGATGGCTCCTTTGATCTAAATGCTCGGCGGGTGTTCAGAGCTCCTCGTTGCCGATGGAACGCCCGGATCCGGGTTGAGGTTTCATGATAATGAGTGTACAGAGGAGGGATGTTCACTTTGACAGATGATCTCTTTGTTGGGCCGGATAGATAGCTGGGAGTTCGGTACAGCCATTGAATTGTGTGTAGCGTTTCCAATAAATGCAGAGAGATGTATTGGACTCACTCGCTCAGTTATGTCATCATAAACAGTAACGGCCGCGGCGTATATGCCTAAATAAGTTTAAAGTAACATTCCTCGCCAAAGGCAGATACCTTTTGCTTGGACTTTCGTGTTGACCGGGCTTGATCACTGCCGTCAAGCCTGCCATACACTCAACAAAGCCACTCGATATTAATTTGGCTGAGAGGCAGCCATGGCTACAGACAACCGTAAAGGCTTCGATATACGCATGTCTTGGTAGAGACCGGAATATATTGATTGGCGCCGGAGTCATGTAGATAGGAGATAGGAAATAGTGAGCTCAGCGCATGCTTGAATGCTACGGTGCTGAACATGCCGCAACACCGTGCTGCGTACGAGCATGCATTCATGGCCATGTCCCGCGGATGGCCGACCTATATCTCGCTACCCATGATGAATTCTGCTTTATAGAGCAGAGTCGCTTAAACCTGGTCTCCCGGATCACAAACATGGCAGTTACTGTTGGCGGAGGATCTCATGGAGTCTTTAAACCCATCATGGATAGTCAATATCAGGTGGACTGGGCCAGGATACCGGAGGCGAAGTCGAGATAACCCACTATACTTGACCTCAAGGGACCGCTTGTTAATTGGACCTTATTTTAAAGTGTCTGAACCGTCTTGGAACATAATGGTTCAACGAGCGAAAGTGCATGACACCAAGGACAGGGCAGTCAAGGACAGTGGTAAGCCCAAGACGGCACTCGCTATCGACGTTGGACATGATGTCCGTCACACCATACCGGTACAGTGGATTGATCAAGGATCCTGTATCAGGCAAGCAACTGAGCAACAGGTTGTGGCAGGAATGGCCAACTCTCATGACATGGTAAGTCGTTTAAAAGGCGTCAATAACTCTTTTCGCGCAAAGGCTAGTGTTTTCTAGTCAACGAGAAATATTTACCATGTAAAGAGCACTCCGTATTCTGGAATTACACTCCGGGAGCGTCGACACAGAGAAGTGCCTGGATATGCAAAGGTCCCGTAAACGGTGAGATCGGCGGGACGGCTCAATCTGGCAGGAGGATGCGCCCAGGTAATCTCCAACTTGGATGGGACCGAGCACAGCCAGATTCTAAACTTAGATGGCTGCCAAGAGGAAGGCGCGTAGAGTATTTGAAGCTTAATTGTAAACTTCGTCACCGCATGCTGGTACCCCGACTTGTCCAGGCCTTTAAGGCGACTTTGCTAGGCGAATTATTAGGGCCGACCGCCCCGGGACATGGTTTAACAACGTGTTTCGTGGCAAAAACTTCCTTTGCTTTGTCGTATCGGAGCCTTTGGCTACGTTTTTCGATGAGTCTGCATCACCCTGTGTGGTAGCTGTTCTCTCTACAGTGTCCAGGAGCCGGCTCGATCTTGGACTCTATTACACCCTGCTTACGGAGACACTATTTAAAAGTTCTCAACATTCCCGTAACCGTTGTCTCTGATGGCTGCTCTTGCATATTATGCGAAAAATGCACAGCCGTGTTTGGCAAGTTTCCCATCTTGGCAGGTCGACGTCGAGTGCCCGGCCCGCATGGTTCAACTAAATCGCCGAGCATGACGAGAACTGCCAGTCGTCGTAACGATAGTCCTCTTTTGGAGGACTAGGTGAACTACCCTTGTTACCATCTAGCGCGCCGAGACTGCCAAGTGTGGCACCAACTCCAGATCTGTGACGAAAACCAGGCTCAAAGAGGCAAGTACATTGGCATTGACGTGACGTTTTATCACAACCTCATATTTCCCACCAGTCTTTTGGCTCGCCGTCTTCTCCATATTTGGACTTTTTGCCGTAGCACCGGTGGGTAACTCCTTGACTTGGAGCGCTGTGCGAAGACGACTCCAGACCTTACTGGCATGACACATCGATGAGAGAAACAATAGTCAGGTGGGTTTCGAACCCAATGGATATTGTGGACAAAGGAACCTGCTCATGAGCTGCCCTTCCTAGTCAGCCTTTCCGCGATGCTGGTATTTGTTAATTTAGAACGAGGAGTTTGGAGAATTTATAAGAAGGCGCCGCCGGTATATGTGCGTGCCATTGATAGTCCTTTACCCGACTCCTTAGACGAGCTGTTTTGGACTTTTTGCCTAATTTGTGTCTATACTATTTCTTCAACTGGGAATTCTCACAATGCCTTCCAAGCTCGCTCTCATGGCCTTGTTGGCCGCTGTTCCGGCTCTGGCTGCCCCAGCTGGCTTGACACGTCCGACCGAGTTGCGTCTTATCAAGACGTTAGAATCTGATCCTGGCTAGTGGGTCACTGAGCAAGAGGAGTTGGATCGATTTATTTCCAAGAATATTGGGTTCGTAGACATTACCGATATAAAGGACGAGGAGGTGCTTTCAGTCTTGTCGGCAGATTCGTCTAAACCTGTCAAACGACAAGTCACCTACCCCAAAGGCGCGCTGCATCTGGATCAAGGCAACAAATTGCTAGCAAATGTTTCGACTGACGGACCCAAGAGCTGGCTCAAGACGTACTCTGAGTAAGAGATGCTGCCCAATCAATACATCGATGCGTATCGTCCGTCTTACACATCCAACAGTTTCCACACGGTATCACAGGTCCGACACGGGTATACAGGCTGCCAATTGGCTGTTTGACCAAGTCAAGCAGCTCGCTTCCCCGAATCCAGCCATCACAGTGACGCGGTTTAACCACAGTGGCTTCAACCAACCTTCGGTTATTGCGCAGTTGCCTGGAAACAGCTCCAGCCTGGGTACGTTGCCCCCGAATTCGCATACATGCTCTGCACATATCGCACAGGCATTTCCGATTCTAATTGACTTGCTGCAGTTGTTGTCGGCGCACATCTGGACTCTATCGGGAGCACCCCGACGGGAAGGAGCCCTGGTGCTGACGACGATGGCTCCGGCACAGTGGTGATACTTGAGGCTTTGCGTGTTCTCGCCGCGTCTGGCATCAGGCCCAAAAACACCATCGAATTCCACTGGTATGCCGCCGAGGAAGTCGGCCTGTTGGGGTCTCAAGACGTCTGGGCCAGCTACAAGGCTGCTCAGAAGAGCGTCATCTCATACCTGAACCAGGACATGGCCGGCTACTCTACCAGCGGCACCCCGGCTGTTTTCCAAGACTACGTTGACACCGCCCTGACGCGATACATCACCGCCCTCATCCAGGACTACCTGAACATTGTTCCGGGTACCTCTAAATGTGGCTACGGGTGCTCAGATCATGCCAGCGCGCGTGCGAATGGCTTCCGTGAGTTTGTCTGTTCCCTGTAGAGAAACGTTGTGCTAAGCATTTGTAGCTGCTGCCTTTGTAGCCGAGGACACCTTTGAGAAGTCGAACCCGTACATTCATTCCGCAAATGACGTGGGTGCCTCTAAACTCGAGTCAAATGGAATTGCTGGCTAACAAGCACGCGACAGACTTACGACAAGATCATGTGGCCAACGATTCTCCTTCACTCAAAGCTGGTTGCGAGCTACCTCTTGGAGGCGTCATATATTTAGGGTCAACAATGGCCTGGGAGCTCATGTTGAAGAGTTGTATATATCCCACAGAATGAGACAGACTGTAAATACAAATTTAACCCGCTGCGCTGGGAGACTTGCTCATAACTCGACTTTTGAACAAGTGAAAAACATAAGCGTCAAGGGAGAGACCGGGAGTGGCGCCAGTAGAGCGCCATGGCGCCTCCCAGACTGCCTATGAGGCCATGGCAACACACCCGAAACAGGTAAATGGGCACAAAAGCTCTGTCTGAAGTCTAGAGTCCGGGTTCGCTTTATCGTATGCGTTTAAAAGGTGAAAACGGCTGCTTGCTGTGCGACTGCTACGAGTGATATGAAACACTGTAAATGGTAAACTCTCCAAAGCTTGCCTCCCAATTCACAGCCGCCGACACGGTGCCGTTGACTGCGCGCCGTCTACGCTTTTGGTCTGGTGCCAAGAATGAATTCGGCTTGTTGGACAGCCTCAGGCTATACTTGGAGCCCTTCGGGTTGTATGTAATCTTAAAGGCCTGTGCCTTGTTGACGTCGGACGTCAGCAGGCCGATGGGCCAGCCGGAAATGTACTTCTTGGACACCGCCGACTGAATGTAAAACTGGTCACCAGCGCCAGGTCCGCCCACCGTGTGGATGATCCATCTCTGGTCAGGGTTGCTGTGGTTCTTTGTCGCAAGCGAAAAGCTGACAACCGTTGCGTTGTAGCTGGCGAGGGCGAGACCAAACGTTTCAAAGGTGAGGTAGCGGCCCTCGGTCAGCTGGCCGCGCACTTGCTTGAAGCCGTCCTCGACCAGCTGTGCCATGTCTTGGTCGGCGTTCTGTTTCCCGTATGGAATCGGGGGCTTGTTGCTCTTGTGGTCTTGGAGGCACTTGGCCGCGCCAACCCACGGCCCGGTCAAGGAACCGAGACTCAGGTTTCCGCTCCAGTGCGAGCCGTCTTCGGGAAGAGAGGGAGGCGTGTCTACTGCCGTGATGGAGGGTTTAGAAAAGTCGGGCTTTGCGGTCTTGTCGTTAGCTTTCGAAAACACCTTCTCAACGTCTTCATCCGGCCGGATACTCACATTGTCAAAGTCAAACGCATTCACCAAGTTGGACATGTGGTCGCGGCGCCATTGCGTCAGCGCTTTGGTGCGCACCTCTTTGTAACCGTGTGCAGCGGCCCATTCCTCGACAAACTGGATGTCCGAAGTATGGTCCGCAAACTCGGTGAAGACGTTGCCGCCTCGCGTCCAGGGCGAGATGATGAACCGGGGCGTTCTCCAGCCTGGCCACAGGACATGCCGGGGTCAATACAATGCGCGACGGCAAATTTTGTGTAACCACTGACGCGACTTACCTGGTCCTAGAGGTACGTCCCCAAATTGGTTGTACGGATCCTTGAGCCACTCTCCGGGAGTGCCCTGGGGGGCAACAACCGGAACAACATGGTCGGCCCAGCCTCCTTGTTCTGTATTTGGAGGTTGGTTAGCAAACGGGAGCAAGAGACTGGGGGTGCTAGAGTCTCCAACGTACCGTCGTAGCTTATGATGAGCACCGTCTCGTCGTACGCCGGACTGTTGGTGATGGCATCAACAACCTTCTTTTGCAACCAAGCCCCGTCCTTGGGCAAGTTGGGCGGGTGCTCACTTTGCTCCTGCGGGCCGACGATCCAACTCACTTGCGGCAGGGTGCCCTTGGCCGCCGCCTCGTAGAATGCATCGAGCCCCGGGTAGGAATTGCCCTTGTGACGGAGCGCCGAGCCGTTCTGGGCGGTTTGGTACTGCTCAAAGTATGCCAGCATGTTGTCCTCGAAATTGTCAAAGTCCTGCCACACCTGCCAGGAGATGCCGGCGTCTTCCAGATACTCGGGGAACGTTTTCCACACAAACGGGAAGCAATTGAGTCCTGGTGCCTCGCAGCCTGCACCCCAAGTCAGCCACAGGTGGACATGTCACTCACACTGCAGGTACGCGAGGTGGCAACGCATGCCTCAAGAAGGACGTCTTACCAGGAGTTGCGCTGTTGTCAATAATCATGCCGCCTTTGCCATCAGGGTTGGTCGGCGACCCAGGGATATTCACAGAGCCACTCATCCATGTAATTCGATTCGGGTCCGTCGCGGCCAGAATGCTCTGCGAGGCCATGTCCGCCACCGTCCAGCCCTCGGCGATATCAAAGTGCGTGGGAATGTCGGCTCGTTTGAAATACCCCAAGCTATACGGCCCGTCTGCCCGCGCCCAATTGTTGCCGAGCCCGCCGTTGTAGGCCGAGTGCATGGTTCCCCAGCCATTATCACCAGCGCCCATGCATTGCGTTGCGCTGAGCCACTCACCACCAAGGTGATTGATATGCCAGGGCTTCAAGATGTCGACTCCATTTTGGGGAGGAATTGGTCTGGCCAAAAAAGATCAGCTAGAGCCCGTTGTATGTGAGATTATGAGTTGCGGATGCACTTACTGCTCAAAGGTAGAGCGACCGTCTGGGTTTACTTGTACGTTCGGGTCGCCAAAGCCGCGAACGCCGGCCATTGTGCCAAAATACTACAAATAGGTTGCTGTTAGGACCGTCTGTCTTGTGACATTGGGAGGATCCCGAACGTGGCCCTGGGCTGGCCCGACTTACATGATCAAACGCGCGGTTTTCCTGCATAAAGAGCACAATGTGCTTGACATCTTTGAGCGAGCCGGCCTGGACGGCCGTAGCTGTAGCCAAGGCGGCGGCCGAGATGTAGAGTTTGCGGTGCATCTTGTATGCTCTGCCTCGTCGGTGCACTGCTTCGCGCTCGGCCGATCCAAGCTGGAAACCACTTTCAGTTCAAACAAACCGCACAAGAGATGTCTTCCGGGCTCACAGCGCGATTTAATACCGTCCAAAAACCACACTTCTTCGTCTATAGAATACAAGCCCTGACCTTGCTGCCGGTTTACCGACCCTCCACCAGGTCCGAAATCCCAGTTCCTTGCCTCACAATGCCGGAGCACTTGGACGAGTGTGGAGAACCCTGGTTGAATTGGTCGGGCACGTGGGTTAAGTCATGAGGAATGAATTGTCGAGTGTATCGGGCTGTGTGATGTGTCGAGGCCAATATTTCCATGCATTTGCATCAAGGATGTCCAGACGGATCTCACTAGTTCCGATTCGACGATTTAGGAAGGAAAAGAGGCTAACACATGGTTAAAGCCGGGAGGAAATATAGTCGTGCTTGGTCCAAGCCGTAGCCTTGCTCCGAGGAATGTCTCAATCCAGACAGAGTTCACGGCCTGGCCCGTTAAGCTTGGAGGCGAGTTATATGGGAAGCATCGGTCGCGGCAACGTTACAAAGTTGTTGTCCTTGTTTCCCCTTGGCCATGTATCTCTCTACTCTCTCCTCTTGCAACTCCTTTTAACATGAGCGCAGACCGCGGCCCGGGACACGGACACGGGACAAGGGACACGCAAGGGGAAAAAAAAAAACTCACACGCAGTGACCGCCCAGGCTGTGGGTCATGATGAGTAGTTGAGCATGGCAGTTGAGGCCTCGAGCTGCCCGTTCCAACCTAGTTAGTGTGCAAGCTTGGTTTAGGTTGGTGTTGCAGCATGTTGTGGAAATGAGCAAATGGGACACAAGACACACTTCTGTCTCCCTGCTGATCCATGTTGTCAAAGGGACCATGCTCGGTCCCAAGACACCCACGGAACCCCCGCCGCCCGCCCCAAGCACGAGGGTCGAGCCGATTTGCCGATTGGGCTATTTCCGGAGCCATCTGGGGGGGCGATCGTGAAGCTCTTGGCGACCCTGGCGATTGTCTCGTGAGACGAATTGTCCCGTATGGTATTGCCATGATTCATCAGCCAATATGTCATCGTTTCCATCCGCCTGATTGTTTCTATTATGTGAGCGCAGTCAAAGCTGGTTGTCAAGACTCAAAAGCCGGTCAACTGCGACCGTTGGCCGTTGGGCTGGCTTCCTGCGGTTTGAATGCAGCCTTTGCATCGCCTTTTTTTTTTTCTCCCTTTTCGCTCCCTCACTCCCAGCCAAGTTTTACTGAATACAAGTGGCTCGTTCGCTTAGTCGCCGACGGGCATCCCTTCTCGCTCGACATTAGTAAACCTAAGCAACCTCCCACTCATTCCGGGCAGCTCGAGAAGGAAACCCCGCCTTGTGGGGTGCTTGTCTTGTATTTTGCTGTGTGCGACCCCAACTAGGGGACACTGCCAAGAAGCTGATGTTTCTTGTTGTCTCCCCGTGGTGAAAGCAAGCAAACTGCTGGTCGGCATCCGGCAGGGCAGCCCAAGCTCGGAATCGCTGCTCTTCGGAATCAAGAGAATACCTCTTCTCCTTCCATGGAGCTGAACCTGTACCTTGCAGTCAAGTATGTATTCCCTTTTCGAGCATCAGAGGGCGCCGCCTCGCGAATCGCGCCGTCGCCCAGCGCGGCTGATATCAGCGGTGGCATTGGGAGGCTTGATTATCGCCGGCTTCTGCCTCTGCATGCTCTACTTACTCGACACTCAGTCATCGTTTGACTTGAACAATGTCTTGTTCGTCCCTGTGACGCCTTTGGCAACTGCCATCAATACGGGCGGCGGTTTGGCAAACCAAAATGATCGCCCGGCTCAAGTAAAGGATCAAGACATATTTAATACCACCGTCCTGCACCCAGAGCATCATGTATACCGTGCTCCGAGAACGGTTCACCTGAGTTGGAATATCACGCTAGAAAATCGCTCACCCGACGGGGTTTTGAAGCCCGTGTATTTAATTAACGGCATGTTGTTATGCGATCTATCGCTAGCCATGAAATGTGGCTAACCTTGCGGCCTAGGTCAGTTTCCTGGGCCCGTCATCGAGGCCAGGTCTGGAGACGAGTTGGTTATTGATGTGCACAATGGCGTGAACCAACTTGGCCATCCAGGCATTTCCATACATTGGCATGGGTTGTCGATGGAAGGTGTGTGTCCCGTCTCTGCACCGAGTAAAGGACACATTTTGACCCAATGAATAGGCAACAATGAAATGGATGGCGTGGCAGGTTTGACGCAGTGCGCTATTCAACCATCGCAAACTTTCACATACCAATTTCGCATCGCGCATCATCAAGAGGGAACGTTTTGGTAAAGGGAATGCATGCGTCAATTCATCTCTTCATGGCTGACCCGGCTGTGCAGGTACCACGCTCATTCGGCTCTGCAGCGTGCAGATGGCCTCTACGGGGGACTAATTGTCCACCGGCCAGTTCACGACAGGAGTAAAGGGGATGAGGTCTTGTACGACTACCAGAAAGAGCAACTCTTACTAATTGGGGACTGGTATCACCGGACCGCAGAAGAGGTTTTGGACTGGTTCATTGATCCGGACCATTACGGCATGGAGGTACGTCGCCCAAGCATGGATGAAGCGCAGTCTAAAAGCTAAGTATTGCATTTAAGCCTGCTCCCGACTCTCTTCTTTTGAACGGGAGAGGGCGCTTCAACTGTTCCATGGCTGTCAAGGCACGCCCAGTCGAGTGCCAAGACGTACACAGGCCCATTCTTCGACTACTCAACGCCCAACGCATCCGACTTCGCGTCGTAAACACTGGGTATTTCACCATCCGTAGTCTGAGCTGAGTAGTATCAATGCTAACAACATGGGTAGAGTTTCAGCAGCATTCAGCATGGCTGTATCCAACGGTGTCATGGAGCTCATCACCGTAGACGGCGGATATCCCGTGGACAATAAAACGCCGGGCACTAAAGCCATTGGCTTGCTCTATCCGGGAGAACGCATTGATATAATTCTAGATCGTACATTGGAATATTCCCAATCTTCTGTGCATGCCATCTCGACGAATCTAACGGTTGAACTCGATAGGGAGTGAGTTTCCACTACAGGCAAACACCGATTATCTGCCCACTCGCAATTAACAACCAGTGTAGGAACATGCCATTGTGGAACTTTGCCCTGACCCGCACTCAGTCCTTCCAGATGCAATCAATCGGCGATATAAAGGACGCGGCCCTGAGACACGTTCTTCCACGGAAACCGTCAGTGGATGTTCTTAATGTAGCCGATGTGTCGGGCCAACCTGTCCAAGCGCAGCTCGGAATTGGACAGCAACCAAATGAGCAGGCGGTTCTATATTCTACCATGAAGATCCGGGCTGCCAACCACAATCGCCCAGTGGGCTCGATAAACCATACATCATGGATCACTCCAGATGCCAAAGCCCAACCCCTGTTGACGCTGGAACGTGAAGAGTGGGAGGCCACTGTTCCCCAGCCCACCAGAGTGCACAAGTTCGACGTCCCTTGGCTGAAAGAGTCTGGCGTAGACAAATGGGTTGACGTAGTGGTAAACAACTTTGATGATAAAGGGCATCCTTTCCACCTGGTGAGTACCTTTTTTCCGCACCTCACCATTGGTTATCTAATCTTGGAATAGCACGGCTATGAGTTTTTTGTCGTGGCACGAGCTCAGGGGACTGGAATTTACAAAGGCTATAACCCCTTCGATGCTCAAAGTGTGGCCGACGCAGCGCCCTTGAACACGCACAACCCGCTACGCAAAGATACCGTCTATGTTCCCTCCATGGGCTACGTTGTTATGCGTTTCCCGCTGCGCAATGATGGCCTGTGGCTTTTGCACTGCCACGTCTTATGGCACCAAGCAGTTGGAATGGGGACAGTGATTCAAGTTGGCCGAATCTCAGAATCCCTTAAACAGAAGTCTAGAAAAACGTGTTTACCAGTGTAGAAGTTGGAGGGGAAAGGATATCGATTTTTTTGTAAACTAGCATACATAGCGATGGCGTTCAGGTGCTATTCGGCGCTCTCCAAAACTCGTGTCGCTTTGTCATCTTTGACTTGACATGACAAGTTGGCTCATTCGACGAACTGCATTATACCATTCATAACTTGAAAGCATCATCTCAATTACTGTTATTAAATGACTAGTTTTGCGACAATTTCTGTCCTAGAACTCTGCAATTGCCTTTTGCTGGGGAGTTTTGTTGTACGGTAGCCGCAAGCCTCATGTCCCAGCAAAGGTCGGAACAGTGAGGGCATTGCTTAGTTTTAGGTATATCAACGCGCCTTTGGCTCCATTACTACTCAATTCCATCACCGGCGCGACAAAGGAGGTGCTAGCGTCTGAAAATGGGCCCTGCCAGCTTTGAGTTTGGGCACTGTTAATTCAAGATTACAGCCTTGTCATTTAATGCAGATCGACTCCTCTATTCACGCGTCGCTGAGGCGTCCAGTTTTTCTTACCTTGATTGGCATCTATCGGCTAATTAGGCTGCCGCTTGGTACATACTGGCTAGTTCTATAACAGCTGGAAGCCTTGCTACGTTTGCTGTTGTGACGCATGGCCACCGCTTATCTCCTGGCTTCTAGCTTTAGGTCTCGGGTGCGAAAATCACGAACCCCTGGTGTGGCAAGGTTTCAAGTTAAATATTAAGCTTTATACTCCCCATATTGCAATATTTACCCCAGTGTTAGCCCTTCAGTCCTCCGGAACTACCCTCTCAGTAGGTGCAGAGATCAATATCTACAGGCGAGGAGGCCTTGCCCCAGTTCCAGCTTGGGTTCAAAACCGAGACATGGCGAAGGTTGTTCTTGGCCCAGAACTGGTAGTCGCCGTTTCGAAAGTCATTCTCCGAGTTTGGCGGGCAGGCGTCAGTTTTGGTGAACAGAGTGGTGAAACTTTCCAAAGTAGAACTTTCCATGGTCGCGGTTTTTCTGCTGGAAATTTGCCAATCGCCCAAGCTAGAAGCGGATGAAACTATGTCAGTCAGGCCTACGGGTTAGAGTGCCAACGATGAGACTTACCCGTCAAAGGTGTCGTTAATACCACCCCAATTTATTTGCTTGTGATTGCCGTCTTGCTCCATTTTGACGGTGTCACGCACCCAGTTGTTGTCGCCATTGTCACTGAAACTAACGACGATACCCTCCCAGTCGCTCTTGTGCCCCGTGTCTTTCTTGAAGTATACATAATATATTACTTTCCAGTTGTTGCCACACTTCTTGACTGACCAGTACGTGGGAATAGTACCAAATGGCTCACCAGCGACGTTACCGTAGAAGGTATTCGTACCTTGCCAATGTTGCAGTTGTCCGCATCGACACCATTAGTCTGGTGTCCTTGACCGTCTTCAGCAGCAGGGGGCATGCAAGTTCCCGATGGCATGCACCACATTGGCGCAGCAGCCTTGGCCGCAGCGAGACCATTGTTGTTGGTGAAAGCATTGCCCGGTAGGCCGTTGTTGGCCATGGCGGTCTGAGCCCTCAGCAAAAGGGCCGAGTTGAGAAGGCCGGTAATGGACTCTATTGTGGTTTGAGCGCCGTTGTTGGCCGTGTATTTCTATGAGCAGAACCTGAGGCAGGAGTGATTCGCAACATCATTATAGGAGTTACTGACATCTAAGCTTCTGCAACGCGAAATACTAATAACATAACTAGCGAGTCATGCTTTCACTGAGACCTTCATTTCTTCCGTGCTGGGGGCCATCCAATGCTACCTTGCCATTGCTGCACATACCGGCATCAGCTGATGCTTCCGTGATCAATAAACTGATCTATAGCTTGTATAACCCGTGTGCCTGGCACCAGGGATGACTATGAGTCCCTGAATTCGGGTCGGGTCGACAACCCGGCAGAAGTAAGCAGCCACTCAGCCGGTATTTTAGTCTTAAAAGCTCCCAGGCTGGGGGTTTAGGACGCATCGACGGGCGTAATACTTTGCCGGCCAGATTTCTATTCTTCCCCCAATCACATGCCAGCTTGCACCGTGGTAGAAGAAGGATGGAAACAGCCGTTGGGTGCTATCACAACATTGCAGTCAAGCAATGAGTACATATGTACCTCATGAGAAATAAAGAGAACACCCTGGACCGAAGAAATGTCACTGGCTGCTCTAGCCATGAAAATTGTTCATGCGAGTCATTGTATTGTAGACCTCTTTGTAATTGTGGTCTATTAATTATCCGGTTCCATGCTGCCCGTACAAAATTGTTCTAGCAACGGGTTTCATTAGCGGTCAACCGGGCTGTCAATGGCAAAGGGCAGTATCCGTAGATAAAATTGTCTTCTCCAAAGCATCACTATTTGTACACCTCTACTCCAGTGTCACGGACGGCATGGCCCCTTGTAATGTTTATTAAACCTATCTCTTATAAGCAGCTGGTAGCAGCCGTGGCAAATCGTGTTGCCGGAATGTGAAAAGGACGATAATCGGCGTGTAGCCCATGTAAGTGAAGGCCTCTCCGTCGAAATAGACGGCAGCCAGAGCCCGTGTGCCAAGATCTCGCGTAAGATTGCTGCTAATCATGATACCAACAAAGCCCCAGACCAGGGCTGCATATGCCAAGCCAATGATAGATAGCTTCAGAATCTATGTTTCGGTAGTTTCCTGGTGGCAAGAACGTTGGCTAACGTGAGTTGTAAACGTTTAGATTATAGCTCCGTGTAGCCCCAGTGATGCATAATTTTCTGTAGCACGTTGTATCAAACAAGCACGAAAACAATACAACTTCCGCCAGTCGTAAAACGAAATATATTCTATTGCATCTTGAAAAAGGTGCATCAGCAAATCTTGGGTTCATAGCACAGGTATCATTAACTCAGGTCCAAAGATGCAGATAGCTGGACGATGCCTTTTATGAGCTAGAGGATAAACAAGCTGTCACACGGTTATACGAGGGCTACGATCACGGGACCTAGGGGCAGAAGACCCTCTTGACTTGTATTTATAGAGCTGTTTGGTCAACTCGGCCTTGAGGAAAGCCAAGGACCTTTGATACCAAAGACTGTTATTAGATGAATCGAGCTATTGACTCTAAGCCCTCTTTGAGCCTTTGTCAAAGCGGCCAATGTACAACTTGGACTTCATCACAGAGTCGAGCTCGCCCCAGAAAAACTCGGTGTTGCGAATATGCTCGATAAGGTCATTTGTTAGGGCCCACACAATCACGTGTGAGGCACCATGTTGCTGTTGCTACGCTGGCACTCTTTAGCTGGCTCTTTTCCTTTGATACATGATAGACTTCTTCACTTCTTTTAGCTCTCTTGCAATACAACTTGTCAGTTGCATCACGAGCTCTTGTGACCTCGCTATAGCTCCCTTCCGTGATCCCTCACATCATTGGGCTCGCCCTGATTGTCATATGCCATGAGTTATGAGCGTATGCACGCAGGAAAAAGACCTCTTAACTCCATCTTCGTAACGCTTGCAGCTTCTCGCGAGAGTACTCGAATCTCCCATGCGCCCTAATTCGTTTAGCAACGACCGTCAAGATTATCGAATCGCGGCTTTCTCTAGTCATCAAGTGCCCTTGGCCACAATTTTCATAATGATCTACGCATTATTAGCTAAGGGTCGATTTAACAAATCCCCTCCACTACAGAGGAACCGGAAAACTTGGAATACTATCACCGCCTCGGTCACCATAAACGGTAACCTCTCAAGAAATCTGCTTCGAATTCGCGCCGGGTAGACAACGAGACCATCTGCAACGTTGTCCAGTCCGATTAGAACGGTCTCTGCGAGCAGCATCATCTCGGGCAAATCCATTCCTGCTGCTGTAAGCCGTGCCTCTCCACATTGACTTAACAACATGCTAGGAAGAAAACCACCATCTTATCAACCTTGTGCGAGCATTCCCGTCAAGTTTGCACAAGGCTTGGCTTCCGAGGTAAGGCTGCAGTTAGTTTAAAGGAAACTCTGTCAACGGAAAAAGCCTACGATTATTTTGGTATCGCCGATAAAGCACCAAAAGCCTCGTAAAGGCTCAAGCTACGGCCCTATTGAAGCTGGCCTTTCAATACAATGAATGTGCTATAATATCTGTAAAAAGAAGTCTAACCTACCAGCTAGACAGCTTCAATCAAGGAACAGTGTGCGTCAGATGCAACTTTTAGTCACGCCTACGTGCAGGAGCAGGAAGAGCCAGTCCAAGACAGACATGTATATTTTCTTCCAACTACTTTGCATATTGCAAGTATGCATTGGGCAACGATGGTAGACGAACCACAAGCGCCATGAAAATGCAAAAAACAGTCCTTGTACAAAAAATCGCATCAAACACTCTATACGTTGACTATAATGACAACTTCGGCGAGTTTTTGACCAAAATACAGCAGTATGTGCACGGGAAAGCTGTTTTGAGTAGCAATGTGTGCTATCCAAACAGGCATATACAAGAGTACAAGATTCTACCTGTCAAACTCTGCACTACAGTATGGACAACGTCGCTGTCAAGATTTTCGATCTGGACTTGGGCGCCAGCCAGGGACCATGCAAGCCGGGCGTGCAAAGAGAGACAAATCATGTCAATGTTCGGAATTTAGTCAGTCTCGGCGTGAGCACCGCTGAGCCTCCTGATGTCCTGGCGGTAGTCATCCGTGTTCCAATGGCCGGAAGAGTGGCCAGACTTGATGGGATTGACTTTCTGGACGTACATTGTATCAATCTCTTCTAGACTGCGATCTTTCGATTCAATCACGAAGAAGAAGACAATGACTACGAGGGCAGCGCAACAGCCTGCAAAGACTAGACCGTACAGATAGTCAATCTCGTCGGTGATGAACCGTGTGCTGCAAATCGTTAGCATTGCCCGTTCCTACGCAAACATGGGGGAAGGGTAAACTATCTTGACTCACAAAAACGATATCAAACTGAAATTTGTTAGCGTCAACGTCGCAGGAATGAAGGCATGGCTAGATTCTGTACTCACAAGTTCCATAACCAGTTGGAGGCGGTGGCCAGACCCATGCAAGTGCTACGATAACGAAGAGGGTACAACTCTGCATTGACGGCCCAGACCAAAGGACCCCAGCTGACGGCAAAAGCGGCGATGGCCAGACATGAGAATGTGACCAGAGCGGAGCCTGCCTTTGGTGTGTTCATCGGATTGTCGTGGTCGAGGGCAAAATGGCCGACAAAGGCATACACACTGTTTCACGATCAGTACTTGCTTGGGACAGGAGTTCAAGAGATGGGTCAGCTGGCTCACAGGAAGCACATCATCATCCACGCGGCACCAATCATCAGGGTATTGCGACGGCCGAACCGCTTCGTCACCCACAAGGCAATGATTGTGCAGAAGACATTGACGGATCCGAGGATAATCTGAGTCACGTAGCTGTTGCTGATTCCAGTGGCAGCAAACACGGTTGTCCCAAAGTAGAAGAAGAAGTTGGCTCCAGTCAGTTGCTGACCGGCTTGGAGAACGATGCCGAGAATAGTGCGGTACAGCATGCGTGGCGCGGTGAAGATTTCGCTGAACCGGAACTGGTCGGCGCTTCGGCTCTCCTCGTGGAGATTGTTCTGGATATCGGCGAGCTGGTGGTTTACGCCCTGGGAGTCGGGCGCGAGGCCAGACAGCTTGGCGATTGCCATGCGAGCACGGTCAACCCGGCCACGGCTGCAGTCGTATCGTGGGCTTTCGGGCATGAACAAGATGGTTGAGCCGAGGATGAGAGCCCACGCAAAGGACAAGCCATTTGGGATGCGCCATGAAGCGCTGGTTGTCCTCGCTTCTGTTCCCCAATTGACCATTTCCGCAGTCCAGATGCCCAAGGTGATGAGGAGCTGGTACGAGGCGACGATGACGCCGCGGATGATGGCTGGAGCGCACTCGGACTGGTACATGGGTACGACGACTGACAATGCGCCAATGCTTACGCCGCTGACTAGTCTTCCGACGGCAAACTGAGCCCAGTGATACGAAGACGATATCTCAATGACGGTGCCGACGCAGGTGAAGAAGGCAGCAGCGGAAATGGTCAGCCTGCGGCCGATGAGGTCGGCCATTTTGCCTGCAATCAGCGAGCCTATAAGGGCGCCAACGCTGACCAGTCCTACAATGGTGCCTTGCCTGGCGGCACTGAAGTCATAGGTTCCATCGGGTTGTAGTTCGCCAAATCTTTCCTGGAAGTCCTGCATGAGAAAGAAGCCAGATATCTGACCGCTGCGGCATGTTAGCGAGGGCGTCAAAACATGAGGATGTGCTGGGGGAGAGGCGAGGAGAAGAGTTGGATTCATGCAAAGGGGAAACTGACCTAATATATCCAAAAATGAAGCCTCCCAAGCTGGCAACGCCGCCTTGGAAGCATGCTATAAAGGTAATCTTTTGCTCGGCAAGCAGCGCATCTTTGCCATCCTTGGGTTCTCGGTTTTGCTGCTCCCCATTGCTTGCCTCGCCGTGTACCGAATCTCTCTTGGCAGACACCATGATGGCAAGGTGGAATTCAAGTCGAGAGCGCAGCAGCCCCGTCTTGTTGATAGTGATGTTAAAGGCCGGACCCCAAAGTTAAAACCGACCAAATGTCGACCTCATGTGTCAAGGCGTCGGTGAAGGCTGCCTTGGTGGTAATGGAAACAAGAATAACTTGCAAAAGCAAGAAGCGAAATGGAAAAGGCGAACAGAGCACACTACTATTACATGTGCCGAGCCACTCTGGCTCCAGGGCAGATAAGGTTTGCGTGGAAACAACATTAAACCCATGTGCTCCGTGCTGCTGCTCGAGCTGTTGTCGAGATATCGGGCCGATGCAAACAGCAAATCCACCCTGTTTAGCTATTTCTTCTACACAACGGTTGGCATTGGCCCACTTGGCACCCCGTCATTGCGGTGCGATTCGTCTTGTCCGTTTCACGTACCGCAGGAATGGGAGATGCCGGCCCACGAACACGACGAGACGAGACGGGCAAGAAAAAAAATTGGAAATGTCCGGAGCGCTAAACTACTCGAGTGGCGACTGCGGCCATGGACGCGGCTAAACAGAGTCATGTCATAATCCACAGTGGCGGCACTTCAATGTCAAATAACGGCTGCCGATTCAGGGCCGTTTAAGGAGGCGCCAACGGCATCCACTGGTGAAGCCGTGGCCGAGGACAACCAGACGTCATCGCATCCATGCATCGATGTGGCTGACCGGCAACAACGGGACGAGCAGCACGCGGGTGGAGTCTGGCAGGGATCAATAAGCATCAAATCACCTTTTGTCAACAAGGCACAAGAAAGAGTCTTCAACGGGTAGTTATTACACATGGTCATTTATGCGGCGGTGCCGAGTAGTATCCAGAACCCCAATACCGATGCACCCGCTGGCTCATTTCCCCATTTGATTCCTTTCTTCTTCTTGCCGTCGAGTGATTTGGCGCCGATGCCACCTAGGTCAATGACGTGAGCCGCGTCTTTGGAGAATCGACAATCACAATCGGCGCCTTTTCTGAATGGGATAGGCATCTCGCCATGGCGTCGACACAAATTTTTCAAATGCTGTTTCCGCAAGGGAGGTGTTGGAAGGCCTCCGCCCGCTCCGCCCGCTCCATATAAAATGGCTATATCGGCCGATGTACGCCCGGTTCTGCCAAGTTGAGGCCCTTTTGCAATACATCATCCATTGTGCAAACATGTCATCTTCTCGGGTGGCCAAGTGAATAACTGCCAACGTTCCTGCCGAGCCGAGCTAACCGTCGTGAATATATTTTTTTTTTGGACCACGTGCCGAGCCATTTAAATAAAATGGGCACTTTCGCCCGCCGCCGCGTGGATCAACATGCTGAGCGCAATTTTCTCTCACAAGAGTTGACCTTACCAAGGCAGTATTTCTCAGCGCAAAGGACTGTTTGCACTCTGGGGACGATTTTGAAACATGTCAAGGCTGGGATTTTACCAACGTGGCTGTCTTGTAATAACAATGTGTCCTTTGCACTGACAGGACGATGGCGTGAAACAAATATAGCTCACAGCGACACTATCGCCTGTCTTGACTCTTGAAACCCTTGGCCATACTGCCCGACCCCGGTCCACAAAGCCAGCACATCCAGTGCCCAGCTTGACCGAGTCGACACCGACACGTGTCTGAAGAGTAGCTCCGCATCAGCTCAAACTCACCGTCGGTCTGGCGTACAGAAGCAACATCGTGTAGTAATACTGCCTCGGACTCGATCCATTCCACCGTTTCTGGTAGCCCTGGGACTTTACGGCCGCGGGTTGGCGCCGAACCATGGCTTCGGGCCTGGATGGTTGCCGCGGACGGACTCGAGGCAAGTTTCCATGAAAATGACGGGATGCGGCGCTGAGCTTGGCTGCTCGTCATATCCGTGTCCACAGATGGACAGGAATCTCGTGATAATCTGTTGATGCAAGTGGAAAGTGGCTGCTTGATGGATATCCCCACATCCTAAAATAGGCCCAGCCCTGGTTCCCAAATCATCCACCTTGAAACACCACCATTACAACCATTAAAAATTTAGTGTAAATCAAATGGCGAAACTGGTTCGATATTTTCTGTAACCGTGCCATATATCTCCCTACGGATGGCAAAGGGCCCTGTTTTGACAGTTGCATTGACTGGCATACTCTAGAATAATGGCCCAATGTCGACGCACCATTCATGCGGCTCTGCTGCGCTGCGACGAGGGTGTAGGCAATGCTCCGACATTTATCCATCAGCAAGACGTGTGAATATTGTGAATATTCTTGCGGCAACCTGAGTGACGCTTTCAACCGCCTGCACAGTCGGCCACCCCCCTTTCTTTCCAAGAATTTTCCCCAACCACCATGCGAGACTGACCTGTGTGGCAAGTAACTTCCGGACTCTGTAGGATATCCGTGACGGATCGTCCGCGGCATTCAGACGGAACACCAGGCACATTCCGACAACCCGCGTTGTGCTCCTTTAAGAGAAGCTTGGGCTTATGACGTGGACCTTTCTCAGACTGCCCTGACTTGCTTCACCCTGTCTTGGAGATCGGATGTCCTGTTCGTGCCTGACCCCTAAGACATCCTATTCTGTTGACAAAAGGCGGCGTCTCATGATAAAAACGCCCGTGCCCAGCGATATCATTGGCTGTCAATATTTGTAACAAATGTGTCAAGAAGCCTCTCGCCCTGCAAACATTAAGCAAGCAGCTCATATGCATACCGACTACATGACCCAACCAAAAAACCAAGCAAGTCTACCATCGTATATTTCATCGTCTCGTGGCGTCGCGTAGCTGTGTATGCTGCCATGTTGCGGCCTCTGTAGTGAGTCCGACTCGGTGGTCGTTGCCGGCAGGGTGCAGGCGCGCTCGACATGTCTTCGAAAAACCAGACTTCTTGTTGCCTTCTCGCCATTGATCATTCCGGCGACATGCTCACAGTGGATGATGCCCCTTCACAGCGCCAACGCCTTATTTTACTTGGGCGTACGCCTCCAGGGCATCGTGCAATCGGCCAAACACACCACCATGCCAGCGTCGCACATCCTCCCACTCTGGCTTGGGCAAAGTCGCTTGTGCCATGCGTAGCCAGGCGCCGACGATGAAATCTGCGTAGCTGGCCCGCTGCCCCAGCAGAAAGGGCCCGTCGGTATTCTCAAGGAACAGCTTGGCTAGGTCACCCAGCATGCCCCGAAAGGATTCCGTGAGCCTCCCGCGCGCCTCGCCACTCAAGGTGAAGTCATCCCAAGAGCCGACGCCGGCCCGGCGGACAAATTCGGCCTTTGTTTCGTCGGCGGTGGCAGGATCGAGCGGCAGGCCGTCAACCATCAGTGGAACGTGGGTGGTGAAGGCGGCATCAACATTGGTATTGAAACGGGCGTACTCGGCAAAGCCGCCATCCGGACGCTCCGACAGTGGCACCGGGAAGACGACGCTCTGGTTAAAGGTGTAGTCGAGGTTCTGGGCGGGAAGCAAGTGGCCGTCGCCCGAGTCGGGATATGTGCGCTGCAGGTAGACGGCGATGTCGAAGGAGTCGCCGACCGTGGCGCCAGCGGCAGCATCCTGCATCACGGGGAGCGTGTAGAAATCAGTGCCGTCGGCGAACTTGCGGCCGGCTGTCTGCCCAAGTTCACGGCGCACTTTCGCGATGTCGGGCATGCGTACCCACGAGGTCGAGTAGGGGACGCCCTTGAAGTTGAGCGCAAATCGGGCCTTCCATGGGTTTGGTGAGCAGCACGTCTCTGCAACCGGGGGCCTGTGGGCGATGTCGTAGAGGACAATTGCGCCCGACGAGGCGGGCGGCGTCGCCATGGCAAATCAATTGACAGGTACCCAATTGTGCCCCGAGAGTCTGGAGTATTGTCAAGTCTGGTGGCAGAGGACCAGACAGGTCGAGTGGTTGTGCTCGTTGCGCGGCGCTCACGGCAGAATCTGAGTGGCCGAGACCGGGGGAAAGTTTGGCAGGCCAGTTGGACTCCAGGGTAGGCTGATCCCTCACGCAAGCCCTCGGACCAGACATCAATGGATCTCTCTCTGTAGGGCACGGCAGGTCTTCCTAGGTATCGACTTCATACTAAATGTATCTTCCCCGACCTTCTGCCAGGTTGTGTAAGCGTTGTTGGCCCAACGCCTTTGTTGTGGCCCAATCGAGTGACATACGGCAAAGTTGACCTCGAAAACTGCTTACGCATTGTCATCTCACTATTTTACCCTGTGGAAAAGGAGATTGCGTGGCGAGAAAGCGTTGATCGGAATTCTGGATTCGAAACTTCACGAAAATCGAAGCTGCTCATACAATCTCAAACACCTGCACATTTGAAGATTCTGAAAGTATTGTGTGACAACGAACATAACGATCCAATGACGAACCTCGCCCTTGCTGCAGCGTAAGATCCGCAAACACTCTTGAAAGTCAAGGAGATCGTGGTGATGGGCGGCAAAATTGATCAAGCCAGCAACGAAGGTTATCTTTTCTCACATCTACAGCAGGTTCCAATAGACGAGCCGCCTTTTAGGCTCATCAAACAAGCGCCAGGTGCTATTAGAGGTTTGCTGAACATTCGGAACCAAATGACGCCTGTTGCAGAATTCAATACTCATACAGACTCTGTAGTGGTGGCACGAGTGTATGCTCTCACATCATCGAAACCGCACATCACAATTCCAGCACCCCCGGCACCTCTGGGCCAGAAGGAGGGCGTACCTCCTCCACCATTCCTCTCCTCTCACCCAGATAATCTTTCAAAGCGGTTGAATATCCCATTGTTCCCACTGGACATCACTGAGAACCATGTGCTCACTCGTGGCGAATTTGAGGCATCTCTTCAGCCACAGCTGGCTGCAAAGTCGCCTCTGGCAGAATGGGTTTCAGCGTTTATGAACGCTACGTTTGAGAAAGTCGAATCACTTCATCCAGAAGTTTCCAGAGACGCTGTGGGACTGCAACTCCATGATCCGCTGACCGTATGGTATTGCATCGATGATGCCAACCCCAAATGGAAGATTACTGAGGGTGAAGATTTAAGGGTGGAGACTGCAGGCCAGTGGACAAGAGGAATCTGGTAAAGGTACCAGCGGGCGAGAGCTGTTGGAAGGAATAGGGCATTCTCGGGACCTGTTGGTCACGATAGTTGCTTTTTCTAGGGCTCGGGCTGAAGGGAGCCCTAGCAGGGGTGTTCAGGGGCTCTGACCAGGTATAAAAGGGGTCAATTTGCAGGGCATCGTCATCATCCCTGAATATTCAACATCACCCGACATCATCAATTCAATTGACTCAGTACCTTCAATTCCGCTGTGTAAATTGCTACAATATTTCCAACAAGAACACATCAACAGGTAAAACGACGAGAAAACGCAGACTGTTACTTGGAACATGTTGGATGGGAAAATAACAAGGAATCACATTGCTCGCTTATCAGGCTCTACTGCATGGGAAAACTCTCCAGGTAATAACACCCTACTGATGTAGTAAGCGAATTCCGAAAGTATGATTGAAAACCCCAAATTTCTAAAGCTAAGTTGCGGAATACTTCCCTACTCATATGAGGCTATGCTAGAGTCGATAGCTCTAGAAACTCATTCAAAGGGTATTTGTAGCAACCTTCTGGCCTGCCATCAGAGCAATTGTAACAGTTGTCAAAAGCTATAATCTACAGGATAGGACTTATGTAACAAGGTCTCAGTGAGCGCTTGGAGTAATAACTCTATTCATCCCTTTTGTCTTAATGGTCATTGGTTTTCTTAGAGGCCTAGAGAACCAAAGAGCTCAATTTGCACGAGAAATCAGTGATCTTATGCGCTTAGGTCTCGTGATCGTAGCTCTTTGTAACACCCATGTGACCCAATGTCTGATCTGTATAGACGGTGCCGTGAAGAGTCGTTGGCAATTTGCCCTCAATAAGCCCTTGTACTAACGAATCCAGCGTCTTCTGCAGTGGCTTGAAAGGGTTGTTAACCCCCATCCGGCAGTACTTAGCGTATCGTATCGGTATTTGCCAGCCCTTGATGTGCTTGGGGTTAATCGCTCTGCGGGAGATACTTGGGTCCAAGCAGCCGATGTGGGATTCAGACCAGGCTCGTTGGCCTTATTGCAGTTGTAGTGGTCCAAGATGAATTCCCACAACCACTCCTCTGCCCCGGTGAAGCCAGCTTCCGATTCCATGATACCATCGTCACATCCGGTCACCGCTGCTGTAGGTTCTCCCATTCCGCGCACCATGCGGAATTCGATCAGATATTGCAAGGTGGAGACCTCCAACAAGATACAGTATCTCGATGAGATAATGTTCAAATTGCCAAACGGCTGTGAGACCAACTTCGGTGTAACTTCTTGCTAGGGTAGTTTGGCAGCCGAGAGTAGAGCTGGCTGAAAGCCGCTGGACCTACTGACCACAGCTGATCGAGCTGGCATTCTGTGTCAGCGGCACCCAAAACTCCGTCGACCGATCTCTGGATTCCAGCTCTAGTTATTTAGCTTGTATAGGTTCACTCGCCCAGATTTCTTGCAGTCGCTACGAGAATCCTTGTGCATGTGCCGTTAAAATCTAGTTCCGAGCTTAGCATAAGGTATATGAAGCAAGACTTATAACATGAGCGGGACGTTAGGAAACAAGTTCAGAAAGGGAATATCTTCTTGGGATCATTTGCGAAGTCGTATCCACGTAAGGTCACTAAATCACGGTCAGTGAGACTTTTCCTTGGAATCTCCGCTCGCCTTTGCCGCCAATGATGCATTTGTGGTGCTCCTATCTGCAGATTTTCATCTCAATCCGCTTACCCGACAGCTCTTCTATATTAGCGAGGTTATTGTTACTCTACTTCTCTATCTATATAGAATCCTAATACTAATATGCGAGCCCATTTCTCAATAACGTTAAGCGACGAGTTATATCCATATTGGAAGTGGCTCTTGAATTATTCCTCCGGGGCCACCTAGGTCTATGGAGCTTTAAACGAACAAAGATGGGCTCAGGAACGCGGCTTGGAGAAAAAAACTTCCTATCGTATATATCAAGTATTGTATGATGCCTCGATCTCGACATACCTCCTTTTCTCCATTGCTCACGTCAGTTATTTCGGGCTAGCTAATCCGAGCAGAGACTCTACACTCACCCAAAGTGCCGACACATCAACGATGTCCCATCTAGCCAGTCTTTCTCAGCTTTTTCATGAAAACTTGAGCTGCAGAAGAGAGGAATAAGCCGGTTGCCTTGTTCAGTCTCTAATGCATAGTATATACAAAGTAACACTTTAGGAGATAATACTTACGAGCTATAGCCACTCTATCTACAACCCGGGAGCCAATCCTATAATGCTGCTGATGAATTCAATTGATTAATTTATCTCAAGTGGATAAAAATCTCCGTATTTTATTAATGTTTCATCTAGTCATCAGATAGGCTCTTCACGCGACACATCGAGCTTTGGCTATGCAACCGACTTGGCGTATTAGCAGCCGCTGTATACTTGCCAAGTGCTCAATAAAACAATCCTACAAAATATAACACAGTGTGACCTGTTGGGTACAATTGCCGATCGCATGATCCCTGCAGCCAAGGCCTTACCTATCTTCACGAAAAATGCTTCCACGCTGGGTGCTGTGTTGCTCAGAGAGACATGCCAAGCCCGCATGGGATTAGGCACGATCTTGCAAATCCTGGCTGACAAGCGGCTAGCTTCAATATTGAATAATAACGTACATGGTCCATTGTAGGATCTGTGAAATGAGGCACACCGCAATCTCGCGTATCGCTTACTCTGTGCTGTGAGCTAATACAAAACAATAGGTATTCTGTCTACCCTCCGAATCTCAACAGCCGCCACGGTCTTGGAGATAAGCATATCCATGACTTCAACATAAAGTGGAATACGAATTTTCCTTCATATCATTCACTTTCCTATGGCTGTAGAAAGGGGAGATATAGTTTCAATGTGGCATTCTCGCAACAGCTGACTACGGCTCATGCGTAGCTTATCGTATATTGTCTGCAGTCAAGAAAATTAAACTTGCCACAAATATCAAATCTTCGCTAGCCAAAATGCGACTACACCATAACAATCACAAATGACATTTGGGTACCGCTGTGGCCGCGGTTTGCTCGCTCATAAACTGTCTATATCGTAATCCATGATTAGACATGTTATATTAATAAAGTTAACTCATTTATTTACATTCCTTTACACTCTTTAACTATCTGTAATTACGCTTTTATAAGAAAGTAAGAGGCTTTTAAGTTAATGTAAGAAGAGCTTTATAATTCTTATATAAGTGTTACGAACGTCACTGCACGAG